TAATTCCTGACCTCCTTTCATATATACTTCACCACTTCCTAAAAATGGACCCAGAACAAGTATGCGCCAGTCATAAAACTCACAACGTGCCTCCTTGTTCCAGGTCACTGATCTAGAAAATAAAAACAGACTACTTAAAGTAGAACTTCAGCCAATAACATATTTTTTTGTCTCAGCAAAGGAGATAGAACCTCTATCAGGTATTTATTGTTTGTGTCTCTTTTTTGGTAAGATCTCTCCTAATTTCCTTTCCTGTTTGGCACCTATGATGGTATTAAGTTTCATATTATATATATAACTGTAAAGCCTACTTATGAGAGATTTATAGGTTTCTCCGTACTTAGATTTACTTACATTATCTGAGCCTGATTCTACAGTTACATAGGCAGGAGGGTAAACAAATCACTGAAGTCATGCTGTCCTGTCAAATACCTGGCCTCCCACACTCCTATTTTCTAAATAGGTATAACAGAATTGAAAACTAGCGCTATGGAGGTGCTCAACACCTGTCATTTGATATGTGTTGCTGCCCTGTCAAGCAGTTGACAGGGCAGCAGTTGTCAGACGCCAAGGGTCCTATGACTCCCTAGCTCTGAAAAGTAGTAATAAGTAAATCTAAATTAGGATAAAGATATAATGTTTTCATAAGGAACCATGCACACTTCTAAAACATACAGGGCTATTCACAAAAGGGTGAAGAGTTTGGAGAAGGCAGGGGAAATGAACAATCTAGGACAGCATAGCTGAACTGGAAAGTGTGCTGAATAGGAGAAATGTTTCCAAATCAGCTATTTTGGCCTAGATTGTACACTTCTCCTGTCTTCTCCAAACTCTTCACCCGATTGTGAATAGCTCTGTAAGAAAGAATAGTAAGCTTATTACACAAGTTCAGTTGCAGCTGGTTCTTCGGTGTCCTTTCATCCATGTTTTATGTCCATAGAAACATTTGCTTTTTTGGCATTATGTAACAAAAAATTCATAATGTACATATGCTGGAATTGGCCTATTGACACACGCATTATTACCAAAAGATGTACTAATTGATCTACTAAATGTTTACTTAAAATAGCACACAAACATGCATCACTCACTGTAACGCATGCTGCATAAAAAACAGGCTGTTTTTTTTTTCTTGTGAAACACTTTAGGACTTCTTTTTGCTGCTACAACTCATCATCGATTGTTTCATTTGTAGGTTGAATGGATCGGTTTAAGTGAGAAGGCTCAAGAGTTATTTAAACACGCATTTGATAGTTTCTAAAAACAGTCAAGCCAGCTAAATTGTTTGTCCCTTAGAATCCAGAAGTGTGAAGAACAGCATGCCTCTGTCTTTCAGATTACCCCTTCAAGTGTGAATCTTGGTTTGCAAAACTTTTTCATTAACCCCTTTTCTGACTGGTAAGCATAGAACACTCTACAGGCCTTTTCCACCAATGAAGAGGTTGAAACTCCTTTTCCTTTCCTCACTAAAGTTTCTGCAGAGGAAAATCTGAGACCATGCTGGACTAGAAACAAACCAAGCTTATCAAGCAGGACTGCAATACTCACAGCCTAATGAACAATGCACAAAAACAAAAGCAACAGCACGACATCTATTATCTGATCTTCCGTAGAACACAAAAACTGCCTTTTCTGGTGCAGAGGAAGTGCCAATAAGCTTGCAGGTGTGAACCGGTTAAAAGAAAAGGCTTTGGTTAAATAGATTCTTTGACTGTCAGGGATTAGAGTCATGCTACCAGTAGTAACACACATCTTTTTCTTTAACTTACAAAATTTTCTCACGAGTTTGCAAGAGTTCACCCCATAAGGAGCTTTCTGAGGCCATTGAAAAGTCTTAAGTTTTAATTAAGTTGAAGTTGTCAGAAGAAAGCTTTTTTGGCACAGAGTCAGGGTCATTAATTACTGCTATCTTTGTTTCTTTCTGAAGAAAGAACTCCACTGACTTGTTGGGTTACTAATACAGCTTGCATTTTCTTTCCTGCAGGTCCCCATCAATGGATTCTAATTCACAAATTCACCCAATGCTTTCATCTTTTCCAGCCCCATGTCTAATGGAATCAATTTTCAGGATTCTTAAAACTCAGCAAAAGAGATGGGTGACTAGTTGACACATTTCTGGTTAGTTCAATTTAAATTTCTAGGAAGCGTTAAGCACTTTGTGATGATCCATGCTGTGTACTAGTTATAGTAATTTCTAAACCAAGCAACAATAATTACATTACATACATTAGCATGGATTTACACACTGTCAGCTAAACCACTTGTAGGTGGAGGTTACTGGATAATCTAAGTGTTTCTGTGATATCTTGAGATCTTGTGATAATCCAACATCTTACAGAGCACATTTGTACCAACAGATTGTAGAAGGAGGGCGATGTTGGTGGCACTAATGATCAGGCAGGCTGCTTTTTTTGTTAAGTTTTCTTTTTATATCTGGAGATAGGGCAATGATCAAGGAGGAGATAAAGTGGCACTTCTGACAACTGTTTGATAGGTGGTA